TGCAGACCTGACTTCTTAACAGAAAGCATTATATAGAAACGTTCAGTGGCCAGAAATGAATTATTTAGTGTTATAGCAGACTGCTTTTCTGTCCATTAACTGCTCTAATGCATTATACCAAAGCAGCAGCATTTTGCAGGATTTTTCTGGTCCACACTGTGACCTTTGCTCTGTAATACTGGGTGCTTGGGTGGCATGAACACTTATTAAGCTGTAACATGAGCATTTAAACAGTCGAGGAAGCCTCTCATCAGATGTAAGTCCAGCCAGCAAGCCTCCAGTCTCTGCTAGAGCCACGTATTTTCTACTTGGACTTGGGCCAGTAGAGGCCCTGGCTAACACACAATAGGCTCAAGCCAAGGCGCATCCCAATTCCATGTCTGCAGTACACCCCTCCTGTTTTTCTGCTTTAAGAGTTGAAATGTGAGCTGCAACTACATCTTAACATCTCTTACATTCCACAGGAGGACTTTGCTTTCCAAGTTCGACATCTGCTAAATGTCCACACAAATGAAGAGCTCATTCTCAGATGACCTAAAGGAAGAGTTCAACACTTTGGGAAATAAGCTTATCGGCTCTCTTGCCGATAGCTAAAGAAGATTGATACCACTCATGTGTTTACAGTACATACAAAGCTATCACCAGCAGCCACTTAGCTTATCTTATCTTAGTTTAGTCAAGCACAATGACCGGTGCCTGAACTGGAATAAAAAAGGTGCTAGTGTCCTATTTCAGCACAACCCTAACCCTAAACACAACGCTAACCCTTATTTTTTATTTAGACCGACCCAAGCTAGCTGTTACCCCACCCTCCAGGTCATTATGCTAAGCTAAGCTAACCAGCAGTTAGCTCACATGGATTTTGATCTCAACAATTGACTTTTGAAAAAACATTTGTTTTGTATTTTGTTTTTCATTTTTATTTTTGGTTGTTTTATTTTTGTACTCTGTTTTCCTCAAGTCTGTAATGGTACAAACTGATTCTAGCTTGCTTTTTCATTATTCTGAATTATGATACTCATCTCTTTGTTATTAGTATTAGTATTAGGATTTTACATATTTTTTTCTTCTTGGGTTATCTGTTCAGTTATGTTTTCTACAAGTTTATTTAAACGAAGCAGTTTTTTTTAAGTGAATTCCTCTCAAAATTAACGTTGAACTGCTAAGTTTATCCTATAATGTAACTAATGTAACTTATTACATACAGTGGTTGTTTCCATAAAATCTTAATAAATAAATGGTTACCACATAATTTTAGTGATTTTATCAGGTATTTTAAAATCAGTGTCTCCAAAGCAAACAGGAGGAGAGTTGCAATATTTTATGGCCACAACTAACAATTTTAGTTAGTTAGTTGATTTCTCATATGAGAAGCTGGAACCAGAGAGAACCCAATTATTTTTCTGTCAATTAACTAATTAATTGATTAATTGACTAATTGTTTCAGCTCCAAACTATTTTGAGTAAAATATGTAAGTGCTGTTTTCATTCCTCTGTGTTTCCTCATGTCTTTTTAGGATGAACCTTTTTTCTCCCACAGCACTGAGAGCGATCAGCCTGCCGGTGATTCCTGCATGACAACAAGGTACTGTAGCACAATGACAGCGGTGTCTCTCTCTCTCTGAAGGGTTCGTTGCATCCTTAAATGTCGCACAACAAGAGATGAGCTCAGGCAGTCAGCACTTTGAAGCACGGTGCTGCTCTGAGAGGTCCGACATCCTCTCTGCTCCATCAAACACAGAGCTCCCGGCACACAGGAAGAAGACACTGCTCATTTTTATACCAGCCATTTATGAATGTTTGTCCTCTCTGCTGCTGTCTCTCTTCTACTCCTCAGTATTCCCAAAAATAAAGAGTGCTGAGGATCTATTTTTACCCACAGGTCCACTCATGTGTGACAGGAAAGAAGTCTAACAAATCCATTACGTCTTGACTGCAGGTACACGTCTTCCTGCGTGTGCATGCATGTTTCTAGTCATGTAAAATAACAGCACCAATTAATCTCCGGAAATGTACCGGTATAATTACTTGCCACAAGGAGAAGTGATTGAGAGATAGAGAGACAGGAAATGGAGTAAGTGGTGCAGAGAACAGTGAGGAGTCTTTGTCTGTGATGGAAATTTGGAAAAATGCATTCATGAGCAAGAGAGCGATCCCAGATATTAAAGAAATATGTTTGCTGACTTTAATCCAGATTCTAAGGTCCTATAGGCCCTACAATGCATATACAATTAGGTGGTAAGTTGGCTGATAAATGTCTTTGCAGATGTTCAGTACAGAATAATATACAAACCTCGTCCAAAATGTAGTTTCCTGTATTTGACTGCCTGTTATTAGTTCCCCAGAACAGGAACATAAAAAGCCAGTCCTCATCTGTATGGAAATTGGCTGATACCGAGCCCATCTGGCGTAACATAAATGGGATTTTGAAACCTTTGAGAGGGTTGTTGCAAGCTCAATTGATTAGTTCTTCCTTTAAGTCTCACAAATAATTTCAATCTGTTCAAATATTCGGACCACGAATGACCAAGATGTATGTAGATCACACAGATTCACTCATACTGTTATATGAGTATATAGAGCAGGTGGCCTTAATGGAACGATGGAGGTTAATTATAGCTGACTGTGAATTAGGTTAATTAGACAAAGAGTGAACAGTGAACGCTCCTGCTGGCTTGTTTTTGCAAGATTTTACCTTCCTTAGCAAAGTTCATTCAGTCATCACTACCTGCACTTGATATGTGCAATGGATTTATCAATAATTATCATAATTGTTGTTTGTTTGCTTTTTGTGGTTCCAGCTTTTCACGTGTGTGAACTTGCTGCCTTTTCTGTGTCTGAACATCTGAGTCTTGGTCAGACAAAACAAGAAGTTTGATAACATCACATTGGCATCTAGGAAGTTGTGATGGGCATTCTTCACTGTTTTCTTATTTTTTATAAACCTAAAGGCTAATTCATTAATGGAGAAAGGATTTTAAAGACTAATCAATAATGGAAAGAATAGTTAAGTGCAGTTCTAATCAGAACAATCCTCTTACATGAAAATGACATACTAAGGCTTTATATCTACAGCCTCTATATTAAGACTAGAGCCCGACCAATATTTTTTGAGACTAATACCAATTTTAGAGTGGAGAAATTCACACATTACCGACATGTTGGCTGATATAGTGAATTTTTGAGCTAGAAAATGGACTTTGCACCGATACGACTGTGTAAAGGTACTCAGAAAGCTGCTTTCTTAGGCAACAATATTCTTAAAATATTATATAATAAACCTTCAAAACTATAATTAATATAGAGTCTGCAATAGACCAATATCGGGTGAGCAATATATCATTCAGGCTCTAATATAAACTCCCCAAAAAGGTATATTAAGCAAGTAGAGTATATCTGTATGGCTTTGTTAAATTAAAATTTGTAGCTACGTAGCAGGAAATAAACCTTGACCCTTCATTTTCTGGGCATCAAAATCAACCACTGACCAAATTTTTAAGGTTCTATTTCTCCCTTTTTCCTTGAAAGACCAAATCCTTATCTTACACTGCTGTAATACTGATGCTAATCTTGTGTATGTAGGCTTAACATCAGCCTAAAATGATGACTGTACCGACTACACTTTGTTAAGGTGCACAGATCCCAAGCCTATTGTAGTAATTACACTTTGTATTATGAAATTTCATTCTAAAACATTGAAGAAAATGCTAATTACATTTCCACTGAGCCCAAGGTGACATCTTGAAGCTGTTTGTTTGGTCTGAAAATCTAAAGTTATTCAATGTGCAGTGATATAAAACAGATAAAAGCAGCAAACCCACACATCTGAGAAGAATTCTGCATTTTGATGACAAAAGAGAATTCATTTCCTGTCAATTAATTAATCGACAAGCCTAATAGCTCCACAAAACATACCTTTTACCTCCTCCCTTTCAGACATACAGTGTATTTAGTAGTAGCTAAATCTTATATATATATCTGATGCTGACTATTTCCAGCAGCACAAGGCCCTGCTTGGCATGCTTTCAATGCATTGTTGTCAAAGGTGGTTCTATGTATTTTTTGCCTGCTCCTTAAAGGCCATTTCAGTGTTTATGTGGTTGCACCCAGGAAAGACTCAGAATGACATCTCTGCCGTCTCTTTATGTGACAGAGAGCCTTTGTTAGGAGCGGAGGCCAGCTGACCGGCCGGCGCCAGCAGCTGACGGTGGGGATGCTGCGGGGAGCCAGGCAGGGAGGAGGACGGTGTCTTACCCTGCTCCAGGTCCTGCTGGTCGTACCACGGCTCTTCCTCTTCGGTCACGAATTCCTCCATTCTCCCTGAGCTTAGCATGGGTGACCCCCCCACCGGGGAAAAAAAAGCAGAAACAAGAAGCCCCCCTCTCCTCCTCCTCTGCGTGAACAATAGAGCTCCTCCAGAAGGCAGCGGTCGCTCCTTCAAGCCGGAGCTGCGCAGGCTTCCTTCAGTCAGGGGAGTGTTGTGTTGTGGCGGCTCTACGTGTCTTCCTCTGTGCTTCCTCCCCTCGGTCACTCCCACCTCTCCCTCTCATCATCCCCCCACCGCCCAGCACCGGCCCATCCCGGCGCTGAGACCCGCCGCTGCTGCCGCTGCCGCTGCTGCAGAGGAGCGTACAGACGTGGCAGCAGCGATGTTGCAACAACAGCACTTCTTCTTCCTCTCACTTCTTCTTCCTCTCACTTCTTCTTCCTCTCTCCCGGTCTGTTATCAGCTCACGGTGCCTTCACGTGCTGCTCGGAAGCTGCGGGACTACCGTTTAGTTCCCACTCGACGAGCTTTGGGTCGAGTGCGCCCTCTAGATTGGATTTCTACATGTAATTAAAGATGGAACAACATCACTCGTTAAGACCCGTTAATTGTAATGGCTGGTGAAGAATACTTTATCATACAGCTAACCTTCAGACAGCATGTAAACGCTACTTTATTCATCGGATTATGCGTTATTAATGTGTGCAGTTAATCCACATAACAAACATTGGGAGTATTCATATATTTTTTTGTAAAAGTAGAAATAACACAATTTAGAAAATACTACCAGTAAAAGTCCTCCATTCAAAATATTACTTAAAGGTCCAGTGTGTAACATTAAGGAGGATCTTTTGGCAAAAATGTAATATAATATTCATGTATTCAGGTATGTTTTCACATGTGTAATCACCTGAAAATAAGAATCCTGTTTTCGTTGCCTTACAAAAACTTTTTATGGTTCCTCTTCCATAGAGTCCGCCATGTTTCTACAGTAGCCCAGAACGGACAATGAAAGATATTGTCTTTTGTGTTTTCTTTGCCACTTTAGTTTCTCCTACTCACTTGGAAGGGGGTGGTGAGGTGAGGGTGTTGCAATTTGCAACTTCACCGCTAGATGCCACTAAATCCCACACACTGGTTCTTTAAGTAAAAGTACGAGTAAAGTATGATCAAGAAAATGTACTTAAAGTAGTCTACAAAAGTAAAAGTACTTACTATGCAGCCAAAATGGGTTCTGTCATTTTTACATCATTATATTTTATGCTATTATGATATTTAGAATTTATTTTATACTATTAGTTTATTGTTATTGATGCAGTGACTTGTAAGATGCATTTTAGAAGCTGGCTGCAGTAGATTCTTATTATTTTTTTATAGTACTGGGTGGTTTTCAGATAAAATACAATGCGATGTTACATAGTAATGCAACATCGCATTGTATTTTATCTTCTCATTATAGGTGTTAGAAATCTTCCTCTACAAAGTAAGAGCAGGTATCTAACAATATTTCTTTCTGAGATGTTGTGGAGAAATATAAAGTTAGATAAACTGTACAGTACAGAACTTGAGTAAATGTACTTAATTAGGCTACTCTCACTGCTAAATGTTCTATCCACAAAGAAGGTTTGTATTAGTGTAACTAAAGGTACAGTTAAAGTTAAGCACACTGGTAGAGGTGCTCAGTTTGTTCAGTAGAAAGGTAAGTCAGCAGCTTCTACAGAAACCTCTGTTCACTTCCTGATCGAAGATAACTGTTCACCAGTGGGAAGCCAGTGAGGGATCTTGTACTTGCTGCAGCACTGGTGACAAGCAGTGGTGGAGGTAACTAAGTTAATTTACTATTATACACTTTAACCCCTTTGAGAGGCAAATATTGTACTTTTTATTACATTTATTTTAAAGCTTTAATTTCTAGTTAATGTACAGATTCAGTTCATGTACAGATTCAGATTATGTGTGTAATCAAGGTTATGTTAAATTGCATAGTATTTTCTTATACAGCAGGTCATGGTTCTGCACAGTGAGTACTTTTACCTTAGGTGATTTAAGTATATTTTGATGTTAACCTGTCTTTATACTTTTAGTTAAGTAAAATATATAGTATTTTTTCCACCGCTGTCAAAAAGTGAATGGAAATGGAGAAGAGGATGCAGCCTGATGATGTATTACACATCTGTCTGCTGCAGTGATGCTGGGCTGTTAGGTGGTGATGTGTCGGGGTAGATGGGTGGACATGCTATCACAACACTTGAGTTCATTGTACAGTATATTTTGAATTATTAATGCAGTCTACACGAGTGCATCTGAAGGAAGTGAGCATTTGTAATACCAACAACAACAACAACAATATCACTAAAAGGTTCGTTTACCCCCTTGTGTACATGTTACTTTGTTCCTGCTTGAAGATCATATGTTCTGAAAGATAGCTGAATCTGAAACAGTCAGCTAAGGCTGTTGATACGATTTGTTATATTGTTTTACAGAAAGAATAAGGAATCATCCAAATATGTGCTCTGTGGGATTACACTAATGTGTTCTCATATATTTATCAATAGTTGTGCAAATAAAGTATAGTTTTGAATTTTCTACAGAACCCTGTGCCATTTACCAATAAGCCATGTGTCAAATGTTAAATATACAAGAATGTTGTTTGTTTATTGTCTAATTATCTAAAATGAGCAAAATTTCAATCATAATCAGGACCTGTCTGATCAAACAACATTTAACAGAATCTGATCAGGCAGCTTTCATACAGTTTCTGATGCTGGATGCCACAGACACTCAGTCAGTACCAAAAAAAGTGTTACGCTTTGATACATAACCCCATGTCTGCTACAAACATTGTTGTGTATTATTTACGCCACTAGAGGGCGTGCTTGAGGTTTCGCACATGCCACACTAAAATCAGAGATCCCTCTAGCCTTGAGGTTTGAACGAATGCACTTCCATACATTATTTCCTGTACACGTCACAGCTCCATCCTATCATTGTTAAATATGATTTAGTATAATAGGGGAGTGGAGGGAATATTTAAATGCTCTTATATTCTGATCTCACTGGGTCAAATTTGGAATAAATTGAAATTGTAATATAAATGAAACATATTATAATATAACTAGGCTTTGGTTTGTGTTTCCACAGTATGCTCTGTGTGCACTGAATTAGTGCATTTCACCCAATGAAAGTGACTCCTGTGCCATAGTTCTATGAAAGGAAGTCTTCTTTGGCAACTAATTAAAGAGGATTAGGATAGATGTTATTAGGGCCAATAATACAGGAAGATCAGCCTGTTGTCCAACCAAAAAGGGGATTGAAGACATCATCACTGACCTAAATTAAGATACATTGTAATGTGTCATGTTCTTATTAATGTGTGTTTTATGTTTCTGTGCTGCTGGAACACAATGAATCCACATGAATATATTCATATATTTGAAATGACACGACTCACCCACATGCCCATTTGTTTGTATTCTTTCTGACAACATGAAAGTCTGCTGTGTCGCAGGGGTCGATGGCTGTGAGCCGGACGTGTCCCCCGAGGATTGTGGTTGAATAACTCGATACTGAAATAGTTGCCTTATCAATACCAGCTGTTGTTGTGATGACTGGAATGGAACACTTTGGGGTGCAGCAGGGGAAGATCTGAACTACAAAGGTTCCGGCGATTACTGTGCTACATGACAGCATGTAGCATGATGTGTAATACGCCATAAGCGACAGACATTTTGGAAGTGTCATCGTCCTCCACAGCTGAATCACTCTGTTAAACAAGCACACACACATATGAACGCACAAGCATGGTTACATTGCTGAAGTGGAGAGAAAAAGTTTGCGCAAGAGTGAAAAAAGATTTGATTGAAAACAGACTCAGAATTCTGAGCAGCTCCTTCTTCATGAAAGCAGATGAAAAATGTCCAGTTTAGCAGTTCAAATGGATGTTTTGAGTGAGGAAAGCAAACAGTGTTGTTTACCCTCCATACATGTATCATCGGCCTGGCTATGTGAGCTAATGGATGAGCTTTTTGCAGCTAATGGTGCTGCTGTGGTGAAGGCTGAGAATGTCAAACACAGGAGAAAGCTATGATATGGGCTATTTCTGACCACTATAAATGGGGTTATTACTATGATAATGGTGCTGTTAAAGGCATATAGGAGCATCTATTAGCAGAAATGGTATTAGAGCTTGATTATCTGCCTAAACCCAATTGGACCAGACACAACCAGCTAGGTTCGGACCAGGTTTGGGCTAAAATCAACTGCCATAGGTCGGGCTCGGGTCTAGCTCGGACAGAATTAGGATAAAAAAAAAATATATATATTTTATTATTAATGCATGAAACTGTAATTAATTTGTGAATTTGTTATTTATTTGTTAAATTATGCACATGTAGTTCACTTTAGATTGTGATAACCTATTAAAATTACTTATTTTGAGCTGAAATTAAGGTTTGGGTTTGCACAGAATGTTTCTGGGCGGGGGTTGGGTCGGGAACCCATCAAAGCTCTAAATGGAATATAATATTCATAGGGATGTTTTCATAGTGTTGATCACATTTCACACACACACACACACAATTCTCATAACTTTACACAAAGTTCACACTCTTACTTACTTACTCTACAATACACAGGACACACATGAGAAATGCAGTTGCATAATCACACATCCACGCAAAATATTCATACACACTCTTGTTCACAACTATACATTACAACACAGGTGTTTCATTTTCTATAAATTCCTCTCATTTTTTTATTTTGACAGTTCTATGAAAAGACCCTCAAGCCCTCTATACGGGTAGCTCACTCGGATCTGACCTGGGGCCCTTTGCTACTTCTCATTCCCTTTCTTTCCCCCTTTCCTGTCTATCTTCAGCTGTCCTATCCAATAAAGGCAAAGCCCCAAAAAATATACTTAAAAAAAACAATAACAAACCCTCCACACCCATGAAACAGCAGTACGGTTATAATGGCATCATTCCAAAAAAGACAAAAACATTTCCCCTCATCTTCCCACTCAATATTTTGCACATTGAAAAAAGACTTAAAGAGTGAAATAACAAACCCAAGAAAGGGAGAGCAGAGAGCTGATTATTGGTATACTGGTATGTGGCCAATTAGAGTCAATTTATTATGATTAAATTACTTTTTACAGTGCAGCTTCCACTTAATTTCTTAGAAAAGGCTTTATTCAGTTCTCATTATTTTCATGGATGGCACTTCTGTCATTTCTAAGTTGCTTGTAGGTATAAAGCCATACAGTTGCTTCATTAGAGAAGATAAGAGCATGCCCTTATTTCCTTATGACAGTGTGGCAAAATCCATTTGAATTATGCAAATCAAGCAAGCATGGCCTGCTTAAATTCACATACAGAAGCATAATCCATTCAAAGGGAAATACAGCATACACAGAAAACAAACCTTAAAAATATATACACATGTATGCTGTCCTTAA